AGCGTTCTGAGCTACAGAGGCCAGCTGTTAAGCTGTAACTGTAAGTTCATGTATATATAGGTAATCGGGTGTGCGAGTTGTGATAAGGTGGACTTCATCATGATTCTAATATTAATTCCACCGAGTGAAGTGCAGAATCTAAGTCATGTTATACTTAATGCTTTTGGAAGTGTTATAGGGGTCGGGTGTGATATACTTTTTCAGGTATTTTGTGTCTGATGTATGTAAGAGCTTTATTATTGGGTTTCTTGGTGAGACCTTATATCTTATGTGTCCTATAACCCCCTGTAATTGCGGATTATTGCATACATTCTAATTGTTGTTTTTTTGTAGGAGTCTGAAGATGCAAATGATACAATTTCAAACTTATCACAACCCATATTGTGGTCGTTGGCATCGAAATTACTAGAATACGACTAGAAACTGTCAATCATACGTTATCGAGGGAAAGGATGAAAGTTCCATAACAAGCAACAGTTGTTTTGATGCAATTATCGCCTTATTGGCAAGTTTTTACATCTTCAATATTGAGTACTGCCACACGAAGAGCATCTTGTCTGCTTTGCAGACTATAGTAGTGCATGGGCAAGACAGAAAATGGCATATACAACTGCCAGTGAGGGTCACAGCCCTCTTCAATGACTTGTCATGACTCATGAGTATTAGTACTACAGTAATTTTACACTTTTTGAGAGTTATGTTGACATATGCTAACCCAAGTTAATGTTATTGATGGAATGTGTGTATTGTCTCACATCTCACCGAACTGTGGTAATGTATTAGAAATTATTCGTATTGCGTTCATGTTAACAACCGCGCCTGCTATTGCTATCACAAGTTGATTGCTCTTTAAAATTAGAATTGTAAACTTTCGGAGCCATATGGCATATATGTACGAATCTTTTGATGGTTCCCACATTTCGGTGAGATCCATAATACTGACTACTGTGCATGTATATTGTAATTTTAGTTATAGTATTGTGTTTATAATACAGAAATTGGAACATTTATCTCAACTTATATTGCAATAATTCATTCCAATCTTGGTCTGTTGGAGAAATTGTAATAATTTAATCAAGACCAAATAAACCCCAATATTTTTGCCTGATTCATTATATACATGTAGAATACGTCTACATGCAAGAGTGCAACCAAATCCACATGACTTTAAATGCTATATAAAACGGCACCACCAAAAAGCTATATCAGCTCGATCGGTTCTAAAGCACCTCTTCATTGGGGCTGAGACTGCTCTCCTCTGAAAGGGCCAGAACAGCTCCGGTTAACAAAGTAGGGGTTAAATTGGCTTTTCTTTTGGATCTATAATGGCTCTGAAATTGGACCAAATTGACCCTTTGGGTGCTACAAACTACACCATGAAAAAAGCTATATTAGCTCCTTCGGCTCTAAAGCAGCTCTTCTTTGGGGCTGAAACTGTGCTCTTCTGAGAGGGCCAAAATAGCTCTGGTTAAAAAAGTAGGGGTTAAATTGGCCTTTCTTGTGGTCTATAATGGCTCAGAAATAGAACCATATTGGCCCTTTGGGTGCTAAAAAACTACACCATTAGAAAAGCTATATCGGCTCCGTCGGTTCTAAAGCAGCTCTTCATTGGGGCTGAAACTACTCTGTAACTCAGTAGCCAAAACAGCTCCGGTTAGCGAGCCAAATCAACGCTTTTTGGGGTTCATTATGACCACAAATGGGAGCCAAATTAACTCCTCGAAATGCCAAAATAGCCCCCTAATTTTCTGAATTGGCCCCTATTGAAAGTTGAAATAGCCCCTGCTTTTGCCAAAACAGCTCCTACTAAAAGCTGAAACAGCCCTTACACTGGAAGGGCCAAATCACCCCTAGGGGCCGCATTGTTATAGGTGCCATTTTGACCCCCAAAAAAGATCTATTTTGCGGTCACCGTTTTGGCCCCATTTTTGGGGTCGTTTCAGCCCTTTTTAATTTACAGTGTATATATATATATATATATATATAATTTAATTTCTTAACTTAAAATATAGTCACAACTCTGAGTTTCACGCTCAATGCGATCTTCAGGCGACAATGTTTAAATCTATATTTAAAGTATATAAGTATATAAGTATATATATAAGTATATAAAGTTGTGACTATATTTTAAGTTAAGAAATTAAATTATTTGCTCTACGTTATTAAATGGTATTGAGCACTCTTTCTACACTGTAAAATTTGATCATCTTTGGTCTCATTAATATTATATATATATATATATATATATATATATATATATATATATATATATATATATATATATATATATATATATATATATATATATATATATATATATATATATATATATATATATATATATATATATATATATATATATATGTATATGTATATGTATATGTATATGTATGTGTATATATATATATATGTATATGTATATGTATATGTATATGTATATGTATGTGTATATATATATATATATATATATATATATATATATATATATATATATATATATATATATATTATATATATATATATATATATATATATATATATATATATATATATATATATATATATATATATATATATATATATGTGTGTACTAACGTCACAAGTAAGTTGGGCAGCGTAAATATTGGGTATTCTATTATATGTATTTGAAGGGCTTGGGGAAGGTTATACTTTCGTTTTACATTTATATACAGTGGAATAGTAATGTGTAAGCACTCACATGAATGGACCTTGGCTACGTGTTAGCCTTTTAGTAAGTAAAACGGGGATTATTTTCATTATAAAAAAATAAGTCAGCACAATTTAAAGTGTGAAAATGACAGCAAGTGAATGTCATGTAATAGCCTAATAATATTTAAATAATATTAAAATTCAATGATAATTCAATGAAATTTAATTCACTGATATTTAATTCTAATAATATTTTAATAAATTAAATTCGATGATATCTAATTCTAATATTTTAATTCAATGGCAGTGTTAGGGCAGTTATATACAGAAGCACAAAACCTGAGGCGCTTTTCTACAATATTTCCAAAAGTTTCACACGAAAGACGGCCATGCAATAGCCTCCTATCATTAGTCGAGGAGCTGAATCTTAAAAACCCACTATAGTTAACAGTTTCGATCAACCCATTCCACAGTAAAGGTTTGAAAACTAATTCTGGTAGATTAGACACCGCTGATTAACGCTAGGTATGTTGTAGAGTCGAAATGTGGTATCAGTTTTCACTTAAGGTGGCTCACAACCAATTAAGTCATTTCAAAAAATCCAAGAAAAATGGAAAACACGATCTTTCGAAAATGGCTTTGTTACTATGGCAACGAAGAAACAAAATAAGTTTTTGCATTTTTCACACAGCACAATACTGTGGCAATGTTGCAGCCAAGTTTCATGACCATACCTTGCACAATAAACAGTAAAAGGAATTGTGCGCTACAAAGTTAAAACAGCAATGAGCCACTTTAAGAGCATAGTTTCGTGGTCTAGAAATAGTTTATATTTTAAGAAAATTGAGCACACTTTAAAACTGTGTTTCTATACAGACAATTAAATACAAAATAGTTTAATTTTATCCGTTAGTACCATCTCTAGGAGTTTTACGCAGGTTTTCCCTGCTAAATGCTAAAAATGTGACCGGTAAGTGAGAAAATAATCAAAATAGTGTCTGAATGAATTCATAATATGCATTTTAAGTTATTTGTGAGCTTTTAAGATAATTTATGTAATTTTTAAAGTACTTTAATTCACTGCGAAAAGATGTAATATCATGTTGTAATAAAAGTTTTAGTTCCAGTACAATTAGTTAAAAATACAAGAATACACCCAACCTCGTTCCCAGGGTCTCTCCGTCTGTCATCTGGGAGAGACCCTGGCTGCGGCTGGTCACGTGCCTCCCAGATTCTGGGAGGTAAATTTAATTGTAACTGTGAGAGGGGTGGGAAAGGAGAGTGTTTGTAGCGTTTTAAAATTGCAACTTTGGGTGATGAAATTTACTGTAAATTTGCAACAAGAAATCGTAATTATAAAGAGAACTCTTGAATTAATATTTATGTCGTGACGTTCTACTCTATAATCTGGTGTCGAGCTACAATTAAAGCAAGTTGGATCAGATTTCATTATAGACTTGCCAAAGAAAGCACGCTTGCCGCTTGTGCAGCGTGGCAATATTAAACTGTGATTAAACCTGCAAGAAAATATATATCTCTAGACCGAACAGTGTGGTTGTTATTTATTTAGTATTAAAGTTTATCCTGATACTCGGACCAAAAGAATTTATTTATTGATGAGATGTGGAATTGCAACGAAATAGCGAGATCTTTTGATTTCCGAAATATCGCCAACTGTATCCAGATTGTTGATCTATATAAAGGCCTCATCAAAAAACTTAAAGCCCGTCAAAAGACTATAAAATTGGCCCTTGGCATTGCTGAATCCAACGATCATGGTATATGTCAAAGTATAGCTGTCTGTTGAAAATCTACGGTATTAAAATCATACACCAAAGATAAGTCAAACGGCAAATTATATGTCACTATATTATACATGTCTTTCAATGAGCACTGTTTAGTAGTGTTCACCACCTTTATAAATTTTGTAAACAGCTTTCGTTTTGACATGAATAAGCTTTAATTTTTTGCTTTATATGCATTCTTAATATATACAAGTGAGATTTAAATTTTTGCTTTGTGAAATAGAATACCGTTATTTTTTAATGGACAGCTTGCATCGTCTATATCATATCCAGGATTGCTTGTGTGTAAACGCATTATTCACTATATGACATTGACACTATCAAATAAATACAAGTAGCAAATGATTAATGAATTAGAGATAAACAGGTGATTCACAATGAATACTTTAAAAATGTTAGTAGAAGTAGAAAACTCGAAAATTTATGTCTATTCGTATGACGCCAAATGACGGTCTGTGCGCATCTGACACTGTAAATTTGTGATATAGATTATAGTATATTAGCACAATATAATGATTAATAGAGACCAAGAAAAAGGCTAAAGTCTTACTATAATTACCGAATACGAATTTATGGAGTAAATCCAGATAAATCAATGACTGAAATTTCCTCTATGCTTATGGACATTTCTCTGTTCGGCTATTATCAAATGTTTACATTTGCTAATATTTGGGCCAGTCCTAGACAATACTGTTTCTTTTAAAAATCTTATAAACAAGACGCGTAATAACAAGTGAATCGGTGCAAAGCGTATCAACGTTTACAAGAAAGGACAAATGTAATGGCCTATTTTAAAAACATTACAACAAACGTTTGTTATAACCGCGCTCGAGTGTGAAGAGAGCATGCATTGAATAACAACACGAGAGAGCACTGCGAGTAACGATTTGCTTGGTTTCTTGACTTGACTGTAAGTAAGGATGTAACAATGTTCTTGTAAATTCAAAGCAAAGAAAATAAACAAAAATTAGCAAGTATTTTGAACGTAATAATTCGCAAAATCTATGTTTTTAACGAATATCCCACTGGAAGCATGTTGATGTAATTTGATACTTTCCCCACACCCCCTCAGGCGCTACATTTTTGATGAAGCACGTGACCAGCCGCAGCCAGGGTCTTTCCCAAAGAAAGATCCTGGGTACGAGGTTGGAATACACCTATAGCATACTCAGTTACCCCATTGTTTTTTCTTACATATATTCATGCATTTCTTTATAAGTTTATTGTTTGTTATTTAATTTTTTTGCATGCTTCTCTGATAGAAGTATCTTGAGTCGACGTTCCTTGCTGCAAATTACTAATGATAATGTCTACTGGGTAGATAGTTCATCGGATAATAATTACCGGTAAGTGTTAAAATAAAGTACACAAAACAGCATCTTTTAAATTGAACAAACTTTAAGTTATATATAAAGGAGGCTAATAAGAAACTTTATCCAAATAGACTTTAAAAACGTTTTTGTATTTGTTCTATCATCGCTAACTTCATGATCTTGATTGCAGCAGTTATGATGGATGTAGAAAATGAAGGTGATGACATTGGTATACAATTTCCTCTGCCGCCATTACCCAAACGACGCCGTTCGACATGTTTCACTAAGTGCATTATTTGCCAGTCTGACTCAAGAGAAAATCTGAGAAAGGGAAAGCAATCTTCTGTTAAAAATTTTATTTCGAAATTGCAAATTCGTCAGGATGACGTTTATCGACGGCTTTCTGCAAATTTTGATGTCTTGTACGAAAACGAAGTTCTGTGGCACGCTTCCTGTTATGCAACATATACAAGTGAACAAAATATCAAGTATGCGTCAAATCATCAATCATCGACAGTGCAGACAGAAAAAAATAAGTACGCTGAAGCAACCAGTGAGCCTTGTGCCATGATATCTCGATCTAACGCTGTCCCACATGACTGGTCAAAATGCTTGTTTTGCAAGAATCGCACTCACAAGAAAGAACTAGAGATCCCAAGGATAGTGCAAAGTTTCAAAGAGAATAATTAACTCTGGTAGAAACTAGAATGACAGTGTCAGTGTGTTTATGATATATATTTTTACTGAAATGCCAAATTTTCGCGTTTATCTGATTTCTTTATTTCTAGACAGTATGTTTCAAATAAAATCTATTAAATACGGTAACCTATCAATAGTCTACTTAGACAGTAGCCCGGTTAAGTCATCAGAAAATAGTATTTATATATATATTGTTAATTATATTGTGTGAAAGTCGTCAATACGATTTATAATAAGATGTATTATAAACATAGTATTATAGTTCAGTATATTTATATATAGTATTATAGTTCACGAAGAAAGTTCTTTTATTGTTGACTTTTGATGTATTACAATCAAGGCAGCAGATAATCAAGGCAGCAGATAATCAAGGCAGCAGATAACCAAGGCAAGGGTAGTATTTTCTAAACTTGATGTCTTCTTGTTTCGCTTTTGGCCAACGGCGTTCGTGGTTGCCAGTTCATGATAAAGTTGATGTGATAATTATATAGGAATGTATGTAGGTTGGGTTGTCTTTGATTCTTGTAACCAGGAAGAGAGGAATTTATAGGCAATTTCATTTTCCAATAATCAAGTCACATAATATATTGACAGTTTTTTTCCGTTTGGATTGAGATGATTTTATCTACAATAAGATACAATATATGTAGCAAGATCATGTAAAATTCATGAAAAATATATAATTATATAACATGAAACATTTTACGCAAGTACATAGACATAGTAGCTGTACAAAAACGTAAAAAACGATCGAGAAGGGTGCAGACAAAAAATAATATAATTAACAATGAGAAAGAACACACGAAGGAAAACGAACGTTTTCATGAAGACGAATTGAAACTATATGCATGCAGCATCAGCGTTCGTGCACGCTATATAGGAAAAACAACTACTTGCCTTCGTCGCGTGTTAAGTGTATATTTTATGCAAAATCGCCGCTAATGCTGGATATCTTACTTAAATATAGTACCGATAACGATCAAGTAATATTTATAGCATACAATAGGCAATAGGCTGAGAGCGAGGCTTCGTGCTAAATTGTTACGTTTCTATTATAGGGTTATAGGAAAATAGCACTAAGCATAGAGTTGGTGTTATTGTTCTTGGAAATTTGAGAGTAATTCGAAAGTAGTGAACATATTGGACGTACCTTATTATTAGTGTTTGTCTTTATTCCGATGTCGATCCGAGCATTCTTGTATATTGTAAAACATGCAAAGGGACCCTGAAATAAGCAAAGATAAAACGTTATTGTTAGGTGAGGGCAACAGTCTTTGGGGTTGGGAAATCGGAAAACGCAATTAAAAGGAAGGAAAGTGACTTACCATTTTAAAATCTTGAAGATGAAACAATCGGGAAACTTCTTCTGTCCCTTGTAAATAGGGACAATGCCCCCTTAGAGGGGTGCAATTATCTAGACAAGATTTAGCCTACTTTAGAATTGCTTCTCATGATAGAATCTAAGTTAATAGTTAGGGATATATTTTCTGTACTGCAAATTTTTGTTACTTTATTAAAACAATGAGACGAAAATAGGCTTATGGTCGCTGAAGTATGACTCTAGAACACCACTGTTTTTAACTCTTTCAGGAATATTAGTGTAAATGTGATCTATTTGACTTTTATAGTTAGTTGTAACTTGATTAATAAGTTGTACGTATTGCTTTTCTTCAATTAAGTATTTACAAAGTGTATTTTTTTCAGATGCATTTTCCATAAAGTTGATATTAAAATCACCAATAATAACAACGGGGGTATTTATGTCATTTATGAAAGTAGAATGCAAATTTTTCAAAGCATCTATAAATCTTGAGATTTTTACCTTCGATTTAGAGCGATAAATTCCTACAAGATGTAAATTTTGCACTGGTTGATTTATTCTTATCAATGTTATTTCTACGTCGTTATAGTTGCATCTCAGAGGTTCGGATAAAAGATGCACATTCTGTTTTACATAAACGGCAGTTCCATAAGGTGTTCTGGTGCCATGTAGCATAATATCATTTCTGAAAAGCTGAAAGCTAGGAATCTCATACAGATCATTATTGTCATTACTACACAAAGCAGTTTCCACAAATATATTAATCTCAGCAGCTTTTGCATTGTAATCACTAGCTACATCGGGAAAGTGGAGATGTAATGACCTGACATTCTGAAATAATATTTTAAATGTTCCACTTGTGTCTTTGTAAAGGAAAGGAAGATGGCTGTCGAGTAAGGCATTCTCTCTCAATCTCGTCATTTCCTCTTGTACTTTCTTACTCACAGTTATTTTATTTTCATTTAGATTTAGAATATGTAATCCTGAAATGGTCCTAAGTCTACTAAGGGCAACATAATGCATGTGTTCTCGCTTTGACGATGGAAGATCAACAACTGCTTCATTCAATGTATCTCCTTGACAACGGTGGATAGTTTTGGCTGCCGATGGTCTCAAAGGAAATTGTCTGCGAAGAAGTTGTAGTTGGTGTTTTCGAAACTGTCTAGTGACTTCTATAATTGGAACCCAATTTTTTTCCACTGTCTGGTTGTAAAGATGAGAGTATTCTTTGCGATAATCATTTCCAATGTGTTGCTCTTGAAACAGAACCCAAATAATACTTGGTCTTGATGAACCTGGTACTCGGTAATCGATTTTCTTAATTATACACTCAGCACCATTCGTCATGCCATCTACAACTGATACGTTTGTCGTAAGATCATATTTCGCTCCCATGAGAATGGAACAAACTGAGTACAATCCCATAGTTTTAGAAGGATCATTTGGAATTTGCTTTTTTACTCTTTCTTTCAAGTCATCGGATAAATCGCCAAGTACAATATCTATTGCTTTAACGTCAACCTTCTCATTTGCTGATTTATGAAATATTTCATGATTATGTTGATCTACTGCCATATTAGTACTAAATAAATGGGTGGAAGTTATTGGATAATCAGGATGTTCCGAATTAAGCTTCAAAATGCGTTCTTTTAACACTTCAATATCGTCTTCAGTGTGTTCACCTTCCCTTATCCGATTTAAAATTTCAGCAAAGTCTTTATCTTCTCTTTGTCGCATAACCTGTGATAATTCAAACATTTGAAAAAATTGTTGCCAGAGGTTCGTTGCTAGTGTATTGTAGCCTTCGCTTGAGTTTTCAAATATCCAATGATCGAAGACTGGTTTGAGTTGAAATAAATCACCAACTGTTATTATACTTAAACCACCAAATGGTTCCTTTGTGCCCATTATCTGCTGCAATCTTAAGTCAAGAAAATTAAACATTCCACTACCTACCATAGAGATCTCGTCAATAAAAATAACTTGCATTCTTTGCAAATGAGATCTTATAGTATTCAGTCTGTCTCTATCAAGTGTGCAATACTTAAATCCTCTGTTTGCAGGAATCTTAAAGGCAGAGTGAAGTGTATTTCCTCTTATGTTAAAGGCAGCTTTTCCTGTGGGAGCTACTTTAATACAACTGACATCGTCTGGATCATTTTCAGGTTGAGCATTTAGGTATCTCATAAGTGCTTCATATAGAGCATTTGTAACTGTACTTTTACCAACACCAGCACCTCCGCTTAAAAACAATCTTAATGGCAAATTACCAGTTTTTACAGAATTCAGCACATGGTAAAAGAATTCTTTTTGCTCCATATTAAGTGATTGAACGAGTTTTCTAAAATCATCATCTTTCAGTCGTTTTATAACTAGTTCTTCATCATCATTCGTTCTTGGATATATACCAATATCATTTATCAAGTCGTATTCAATATGCTGTTTATTTTTACCAGGATCAAAACATCCAAATAATTCACTTTCTTTTGAGCCAATATCTTTATCTTGTTCATCTCTATATTGTGCATTAGCAGCGACTACATTCCCAAATTCGTCACTTTCAATATCTTGCACTGCCTGATCAAGAATTTCTGAATGATTCTCGTACTGTTTTCGGTTTTTCTCTATTATATCTTTAACATCTTCAAATCGATCGTGGTAGGTTTGGAAATCTTTAAGAAGATCTTTCTTTTCATTTCTCCAAGGAGTGTAAAGCATAATTTGTTCTCGACAATAGTTTTCTGGATCTTTGTTTTTATTAAACCTAACTGACCGTATTATCCTTGGTTTATTCCTCTTCACGAGTATTATTCCACCTCTCATTTCATATTCATCGCCTTCGTGTAATATCTCGTCCTTTTCGGATACGTCATCATCTACATTATCATTGAAATCGTTTTCCGTAAGAAAGTCATCTGTCAAAAGTTTTGGGTCAGCACTTTGTTTAATTGTTTGCTGTTCATTAATCTCATTTTTGCAATTAAACCATGCGACAAAATCTGCCAAACACCAATTTTGCAACTGCCTTGGTCGTCTTTGATATCTTTTGATAACATTATCTGATTCAATATCAAGGGAATGATCGGGTAGTTCCTTAATTTTATCCATGCTTTTTACCAAGAATGTTCTTTCATTTGGATCAGATGTATTGATAAATTGGAATTCACGAGATGATCTTCTCAACGGCATTTGCAGAACTAAATAGACAGCTTCTTGTGCACTTATTTCAACAGCATTGAGAAACTTGTTACCAATATGTCTTACTTTGTTTACAATATCCTTATTACCTTCTTTTGCTTCTTCACATGCTTTACGAAGTAACTTGCTCATTCCCCTTTGACCTTTAGTGATATAGGAAAGTATATAAACAGCACAAGCATAGGGATCTAGTACGAACTGAATATCCATGTTAGCTTGCCAAGCTTTGAGTAAATTTGCATTGTAACAGTTGATTCTAATCTCAGTGGGGGATCGTTTTAATAAGAGTGTATCATGTTTAAGAGAAAGTCTTATTGCCTTAAGATATTGCTTTTCTGATAAATCCAGTCTTTCAAGAAATTCAAAAAAGTTCATGGTTTCATCAGCTTTGATAGAGTCTAATAATGAACGGATTCGTCCTAAATCTTTCTTTAATTTATCTGCCACATTTTCATCCAGATCAGTCTCAGGTAATGGTTCTAAAATCATAGTTCTTGGCATTGGTGGTAAGGGAAAATTAAATCTGCAAGCATTGTGTCCGTTTTTCTTGCATGTTTTTGAGTGTCTATGTCTTTGTAAATTTACTAGATCAATCTCATCTGAATTAGCTTTGTACGAAATGTAACTATCTACAAACGTAGTGATATCATCATTAGAGTCTTTTCCATACTCAGGGGCGTTTTTTATCCAGAATAATCCATGGATATGTGGTGAACCTCGTTGTTGGAATTCAACACGATAGAAGAAGTCAACAACTTCTCCAATTGGATGAACCGAGCTCTTGATAAAATCATGAATTAATAATTGCACCATATGCTCGAAATTTCTTGCACATGTGACTGGATCTTTTTGTATCAATTCTGACTTTTTTTGCCAAGTCATTGCCTTGACCTGATCGTCAGTATAGTCTTTATTGTCAATAAGACGGCCAAGAATTTTGATCAAATGAATCCATCTCGTTTCAGCGGCTGAGAATGAACAGAACCAGGTCGGATTACCAAGCTGGCGAATCATTGCAAATAGATCTTTTTTACATCTTTCAAAATATGGAGGTGAACCGCGTAAATTTCTTAAAACTCTGAACCCTTCATCTAAATTAATAAGTTTATTGACTGACCTCTCTGACTTTAAATCTCCAGCTGTGTATGTTTTACCTTTAGTTTTGCATTTACGCAATGATAAGCTTGCACTTCCCTGAATTTGCTTGATCTGCAATTTTTTCAATTTGTAAAAAATATTTGGGACACACTGCGCAACTCGTCTATCTTTACTTCGCAATTCCCATTTACAAATTGTGCTATAGTGAACAGGTACAAGTCTTTCACTATTATCAGGTCGACGTTTACCACAGTAAATAGTGGGGAAGGACAAAAATTCAGAATCTTTGTCAATGAATAATCCAAGTGGTCTATTCCCTTCACCTGGAGCAAAACTGATTATTCTGTCACCGTGTTGAGTAATGTCAGGTTCTTGTAATAATGTATCCATAACACCTGATGGTCGTTCTGTTTCTTCACACCACTCATCATCAGTGTCATTGTCGATAGAGATATCACATGTTCGGGTTTCTAAGTTTTCCTGGTCTTGAGTATTCAAGTTGTTTGACAAATTACCAAGCGTTTCCGTCTTATCCTTGACCTCGTCAACAAATTCTGACCACTCCTGATGGCTAGTTACTGGATCTGTCGGGTAGTTATCTAATACTTGTATTCCTTCGTTTTTAAATATATCACTTGTTTGAACTAAATATCGAGCGGCTTCCAAAACTTTAGTTGGTCTTACGTTCTGAAATTGATAATGGTGTTTGTAACTAAGTCGACGTTTTAGCTTAATTGGAATAGTCTGTGACTCATTGATTGGTCTTGGTAAGACGGTGACAGTTGAATTAACATCAGCTGGTACATTAACTACATTACCATGAATACTTAATTGACCTCCACTGGGCAATTCTCGTACTTGCATAAAAGGTATTCTTGGTGAAATTAATCTTTCTTCAAGAGGTGTTAAATTCTTTAAGGCCTCAGGTTTTTCAGGAAATGTCATTTTGTTTGCCTTTGCACAAGTTGGTATCTTGCCAACCTTCAGGTTAGAGTGACAAGTAGAACATATCCATTCATTATTATCAACACTTTTTACACCAGTTAGGCAAGTGTTCAACATTTCTTCAGAACATAGTTTATAAAGGGAAATATTGGATTTTGTTACTGAAGATTTATACCATAACTGATTACAACATGTGCAGACATATTCTGGCCCAGTTGAGATGTTACTGTGAAATACGCGAATCAATTTTGGCATATCTATATCAGTGGATGCATGAGAATTAAATTTCGGTCGTTTTCCTTCATTAACTGTTTTGTCAGTTTCGCTTAAAACAGCATCTAGCATTTTTCTTTTTAAGTTCCATGTTGTCTGACTTTGCTTATATCTTTCAGGGTGTGTTTGCTTATATTTAATACTTGCTTTCTTGGCAGATTCTTTAACTTTGTTTACATTCAATTTCCGATATTTTGCTTTGGCTTTGTTGGCTAATAGTTTGACCTTATCTGTATTTAACTGTTTGTATTTTGTATTGGCTTTTATAATAACGTCCGTACTTTTTTCAGGCTTTGCCTTTCTGTATTTCACAGTAGCCTTTATGAAAAGATGTTTAACTTTTTCATGGTTATGCATCCTGTATTTTGCAGTGGCTTTTCTGGAAATCTCTTTAAATTTTTCCGGATTTGCCTTTCTGTATTTTTCAGTGGCTTTTGTGGAAACCTTTTTAAAGTTTTCAGGGTTTGCCTTTTTGTATTTTGCAGTGGCTTTTGTGTAAATGTCTTTAAATTTTTCAGGATTTGCTTTTCTGTATTTTTCAGTAGCTTTAGAGGAAACCTCTTTAAATTTTTCGGGGTTTGCCTTTCTATATTTTTCAGTGGCTTTGGTGGAAACGTCTTTAAATTTTTCAGGGTTTGCCTTTCTGTATTTTTCAGTGGCTTTGGTGGAAACGTTCCTAAACTTCTGAGGGTTTGCCTTTTTGTATTTTGTAGCGGCAGTCTTAAAAATATCTTTTACTTTTTCATGATTTGTTTGTCTGTATCTTTTCGAGGAAGTCTTAAATATTTCCTTAACTTTATCTGCATTTGACTGCCTATATTTTTCAACTGATGCTTTGACTGACATCCTAACTTTATTAGGATTCAATTGTTTATAAGTAGTCTTTGCTTTTTTGTTTTGTTCCTTGACTTTATCAGGATTTGCCTGTCGGTATTTTTTGTTGTATATTCTTTTTTTTTGCTTTTCATTTTGCTTAAACTGGCGGTCCATCCTTCTTTTTTTCCATATATTCTCTCATATACTCAGTTCTTGGCTTTGGCACTGAAAGCTGATTCACATTCATAAACGTTTTACAGCTCGAGTTATTGTTTTTATTACAGTTTTTTGTCTTATTTTGGCTTTGCCCGTCTGTTGGGTTTAGAGGGGCATTTTGCCTGTTGACTTGCAATGTGGAAACATAATGCATTTCGTCTAGGTGTCCAATATATATATGCCTTGTATTCTGTGGCTGGATATTTACAGGGTGTATAATTGTAGTCTCAGAGAAATTTGCTGCTGTTTCTATTATATGAATTGTTAAATTGAGAGCATTTGAAACGGCCTGAATGATCATATTATCACTCCATGTTCCGTCACAAGACATATTTTGAATATAGTGTAACCACGAACGTTCAGTGTTACTTTCTATAAAATATTCTGGGTGGTTAATAAGATGCTGAATTCCTATTGAGCGTATTTGTAAATGGTTACATTCGGTCCCATACAGCTGGTGGCTTACACTTCGGAAAAAGCAGTTCCCATCACCGATAATATTAACTGGTGTGCGACCTATTAGTAACAATCGTTCAATCAAAACAGACATAGGGGTCAGAGGACCTGGGTTTAGCTCAACATCGCCACACAAAATTAAACCAAGCCTTCTTGCCGTCTGTGCCCTCTGAATATTAGGTTCATGTGGAGAAGTGAATTGTGAGTTTACAGCCTTCTTCTCGTGTAATTTATGTTTTTTCGTTCTTTGTCTTTTTAAATTGGAGCAGTATGTATTTTTAATTTTTACTGGCCGTGCGAACGAGCTTTCTAAAGCGAAGACATTGGTTATGCGGTAATAAATATATTTTCTGTAAGTCTTGGAAAGGAATTTATGCCATAATGAGGACTTAGGAACACAACGTTTTATAAATAACTTAATTTTATATTTTAACTGCTTATTTTTTCTCATTTGTTTCAATACTTTTTTGGCAGGTATCCGAGAGGGTTCTCGGTCACGCTTAGTGTGGGATGTTTTTGGTTTTAATTTACTTCGGTTTACCTCTAACCAGTACTCTAACCTACTTTGACGAAAATCGCCATTTTGTTCAGATGCACAATTTCGCTTATTGTTCGAAGCTTCTGTTTGAAACGTATGGTCTACAGTGATCGTTTTATGTGGAACTAATATTTTTGGACGTATATCAATGTAATGATCTGTTAATTTAGTTGTATTTGGAAGTAAATTGCAAGTATTGAATGGCATTTGACTGGGCTTGTTTATTGCTCGTTTGTTGCTTGTATTTTGGTCAATATGAGATTCACAATTTCCCAACGTTGACGTTGTGGTAGACCTGTGAATCACAAGGTCTGTTGCGATGTCTGTGGACATCTCCTCGTCTTTCGCATCCAAAATGCTAATCTGACGAGTTAAGATTGTGGCGACAGCGCGTGAGCTGTCTTCTTGCCTTTTGTTCACATTTAGCTGAACTCTCTGGCAAGTCAAGAGATTGTTAATTGTATGTAGTTTCTCTTCTTGCGTTTCCATAGTGCATGTGGTCAATACAGTTGTCGAGTTATCCGAAGACGTTAAGACGACAATTTATGTAGAATTTCTAATCTGCGACCAAAAAAGCTGATGACGCGTTCCAAAAATAGAGACTTGCTTGTCCTGTCTAAGTCACAAAAATAGATGGTGACGCATCCCAAAATAGACACCAGATCATAGTTTACGTCATTTACTATACGGACTATAGACAGAAAACGAAGAAACATGATGTGATTTTATGTTAGATTTCTGTATATGTCTTGTAACTCGATCCCTTTTAAAATTAGCTCAAATTTTAACTTTAATATTCAATTGGTCTTTGATTGTACAGCAAATAGTAAGTTATGGGCACATTTTATGCTGTATGCATCTATACCCGTGTAATTCGGCGAAGGAAAATAAATATGAATTGAACATTAAATTTCTGTAGCCTTGAATACTACAAGATCAGTTGCGAATATTTTAGCGTACTTGTAAAATGAATTTATTTTACTTTATTAGTATTCTCTGCCAATGGAGACAACCTCGCGAGTCATTAGCATGCATTTAAAATCTCAATTGGTATTGATATAACTTTCATAAACATCCCTGCTTCTGAATTAGTATTCATAACTTTCGTAAACATCCCTCGAATATGACTTTCTGATCTTTAATGCGGTTTACAAGTGTGCACATGTGACTCAAATATCGCGTCGCGATTTGATTTGTGCCCTTATTATTCATGAATTTTAAAATACAGCGATAAAAATTAACATAGGCGTACCGGGCGGGGAGGGGGGAGGCGCAGTAGCCCCCCGGCGGGGGGGGGGGGCGGTAGCCCCCCCAGTTTTTTGGGCAGTCGGGCAATATTGGATCAACAGTCGGACAATTTTGGTTTGTATTAAAATTAAATGGGACAAATTCTGTTAATTTTGTCGGAAATTAAGTCAAATTTTCGGTCAATTTTATGTTTTTGGAAAATTGGGGGCGACTACTATGCATCATGTAGAGGCCCGGATAGAGTAAAAAAGTGTCCTTATTATAGAGAGCTTTCCATTACACAGAGTCACCTTTAAGACTACACTTATAGGTTGGACTGTTGAGTAGCTAGAATAGTTTATTGGGCCGGCTTCGCTAATGAACAGCTTCGGTTTATTTTTGACTGTTAACGAACAAACGTGGATGTATATATAGACTTGTGTTTGTACTATTTCAGTCACCAAAAACGCTGATGACACGTTCCAAAAATAGATAGAGACTTGCTTGTCCTTTATGAGTCACAAACTATGAATAGCTGGTAATGCGTTCCAAAAATAATTTGCTAGTCGTTGCGAAATCTTGACCTTTTAAGGTATTGAAACCGCGATTGGTCACAGCTGTGTATATTATAAGCTAGTGAGGTCTATGGTGAGGTGCTGATGCGTTGTATTGGTTTGATTGACTGACTTGTGGTGTTCGTGGTTTGTACTCGTAGTATTCGCAGAATGTCTTCGCCTCTAAAACGAAAGTCAAGCGTTAAAGAAAAGAAAATAACACCAAAGAAAAGGGAAGACACAGTGACCGAGGGAAACTTGTCCCGCTCTGCAAGTCAAAACACCCAAGGCCAAGTGTCTCGGAAAAAAGAATCGAAACGGCTTATTGGATACGTCCATAATCTATCGCCAAAAAAACGGAATAAAAAGGACACGTTAGACTATTTAACACTTACCCTCCAAACGGAAGACACGTATCAAGATGTACTTTGCTACTCGATGGCAAAGCGACCGTTGTTGATGACGAGCATGACGAGCCGCACACCGATTAAAGTCGATCATTTCGCAAAAACCACGGACGGTAGCAAAGTCATAATTAACGACATGACCAGCGTAGCCGTTCCAAATCAAACAGAGTATTCGTTCCAGTACACTGAACAAGAAGATAACATCACCTTCATCAGTACGGTTATCCAAGGGCATGATCCTCTCGATATTGTAAACGTACGCGGAAAAGTAGTGAAACTACTTCCAGAAACGACAGCGGGGCGGATCACAAAGAGACTTCGAAAGGGTGCATTCGTTGATAGGACTGGCGTCATTTTACTTCACTTATGGGAACAAAATATCGGCGAAGTGGAAGAAGGCAAGGTTTACACCATCACAAGTGCTCGTGTTGGCATCTGGAATGGCCACAAGTACCTTGGAACTACACGGCAGTCGGTTATAACAGTCTGTTCGGGTGCTGTGGACGTCTCGGATATTCATCCTGATGAGATCGATCAACTTTTGAGTTCAGAGCGCGACACAGTTATCGAAGTTGAGAACTTTGATGCCATAGAATCCGTGACAATCTACAAAGAGTGTGACAGGTGTTCCAAGCGGATAATACAAGCATCAAGTATAGCATTCCTTCATTGCGACCAGTGTGGGCGATCAACACGGACTTCGTCTTGCAAAACAAACGTTTGTGCGAAAGTTCTTGTAAAAGATTCAGAAAAGGGAAAAAACATTCCTATAACACTATTTAACGATGTTATTGGAGATCTGGTGCAAGAATCAAATACAATGGATAGTCGAGTCCTGGCTGAGCAACTGTTGATGCTTGGTCGGATGTCCATATCTTTCAATAGTTCAACTGGTGTTGTGTCAAAGGTGACTTTGCTATGAACTAATTTCAGTTATTTTGGATTTTTGACCTTTCAAATTTTGACATTGTTGATATTTATATACTTTATATACTATTTATGCAAAATGGCTGAACTGATGAACCGTGATGATGCCATAACCAATGCCTGACATTTAAATTTGTCTTGCAAGTTTGCAAGAAAACATTGCTCTGTATTTGTTATTTGTTGAAATTCGTAATTAAAGATGTTTGAATAGACGGAGTTTGTTTTATATTCTGTGATATCAGTATATTAGTAAGTACGTTTTAGCCTTATTGTCGATTTCAGGTAACTTTTCAACACGCTGTGTTCCCAAGTTCGTTGCGAACTTGCGAATTACAATGTCAAGTTCGGAAGTTGCGCATGAATTTCGCAACGAAGTTCGCAAGTGGATTTCAAAGTTCGAACTTTGATTGTAAACAAATGTTCATAGTTGGGAGTTCAAGTTACTGTGTAAGGCCCTATGCACATATTTCAGCAGTAAAGTATTGCTCCAGTGGTCTCCCAAGACGAAAATTGCCTTTTTAAATAAATTTATAAATGAAATTTTTACAATTGTTTACAATCGAAGTTCGAACTTTGAATTTGAACTTGCGAACTTCGTTGCGAAGTTCCCGCCCAACTTCCGAATTTGGCAACGTAATTGGCAAGTTGACAACAAACTTGGAAAGTACATGAAATCGACAATAAAGACCATGTCAAGCCGTTCTCGCACAGATATAAACATTGACCAAATTTTGAATCTTTCGAACTTTTTTGAATTGAAACGCACTCTAGTTTATATAGTCATTTACAATACGTCAATAGCGAACCAGAAAAGTGTTAGATATTCAGTTAGTATGTCTTATTTTACAAATATAGCAGTTCAAAATGTAAACAAAAGGATTACGGAGTTGACATGGTCTTTAAACGTGTACCTTGTGCAAACAAAAGCTTGTCACACAAAGAAACACTTTAAAATTTAAGTAGCAAGCTTTCATTTGCAAAAGGCATAAATTTAAGACTAAAATTTGTTTTTTGTTAAATTTTATCGTGTTACTGAATACTGTAAATGTTTACTGCGTCTGCGTGATGCTACTTGGACTAAAATTATTATGGACGAGTAGATGGCAGCCAAGCGTAATACTACCATTTTCGAGCTTCCGTGAAGCGTGCATTTATAACTACGTTTCAAAACGTTTCTTCAGCATGAGTTTGTCAATCATAACTTTTTGTTTTGCAATAATAACTTTTGTGGGCGTGGTGTCAAGCACATTGTTTTGCACGCGAAAATTTCTTCTTATTTTTCATAAGGACGCGTTTATACTGACAAAATTGCTATAGAAAGCGAAATGACAGATTTATAGCACCTTCTGGATGTGTTTACGTAACAAACCTCTATAATACAAGTGTCCTTTTGAGTTTTGACGCCGAAATTCAAAGTTCGCAATATGTTTTATACCACGCCCACAGAAGTTATTATGTCAGAACAAAATGTTTTAGGAGCAAAACAAAAAGTTTTGTATGACAAACTCACGCTGAAGAAACGTTTTAAAGCCTAGTTATAAATGCACGCTTCACGGAAGCTCGAAAATGGTAGTACTTTTTCACTATATAATACTTGCATGTGTGTTGTTCAGTTGTTGCATTTTGATAATGCAGTAGACTTTAGTTTCTTTGCTCGAACTGACTATATGACCGGCAGCCGGTCACGGTTTATCAAATACTATTACAGTAAATGGCCGGCAGTATAATGATTAGTGACTATAGTCAAAGTTCAATTTTTATAATATACTGGTAAACCGATTCCCAACACCAAAACCTTCTCTAGCCCTAACCCTTTGAGAGTTAGAAAAGACGGGAAAAAAATTAAGAAAAACAATGCTAAGTCAGACAAAACACCTCCCCACCCCAACTGGGTTTCACTTTCCACACGCAGCGCCTTTGCCGAATACGCCAACAGCAAGCTCGGTAAAAGCAAACGCAAACAAAAGTCTTTATATTTAACTATAGTCACTATACTGCCGGCCATTTAGTATTTGATAAACCGTGACCGGCTGCCGGTCATGTAGATACTTTCTTTGTTTCTGTACTAAGATTAGTGTGTGACATATGTTTCACAATAACAAGTCTCATGAACCTTTGATTGACTTATTCCCAAGGTCAGGTTGTGTTTCGTGAGTCATTTTCAGATTTTCGCATGTATTCGATAATGTTACTTTGGATTTCAATAGTTTCACAGTTATATAGCAGTGTTTAAAGCAGTTTTGATAAGCTTTGATACATATAGTTTCTCGCAAGATCTGGTAGAGCCGTGAACAAGGTCGGTCACGGTAATTCAACACATTAGTGATTACAGGCTTCTCTGTTTCAGTGTCGACTTGTCCGTCTTCTAATGTATCTAATGTGAAAACAGCTAATATCGGCACTTAATTGAATGTCCGTAATGTATAGCAGACATAACATATATTTGTTATTGCCGTAGAATCTCAAAGATTTACCCTACAATTATTCTAATTTATTATTGTAAAAAGGACTGTCTATAGCTCTTCCTACTGAGCTTTGTATAATGAATATACCATCTAAATAATATCGGTACTTGATTGAATGCCCATAATGCATAACATCAATTTAGATATTGCGTAGATTCTCAAAGATTTACTCAATATTCACATCCGAAATGTTTATAACAAAATGTGTCGCTCCTTCCTAGCATCATAGAATATAAACAGTCTACGGCTTGATAGCGCATGCGCATTTGCGCTACTAATGAAAAATCGGGTGTTCCGGGGGGAAAGATCCTTTATAGTCTTTACACAACATGAGAAGCGAATGTTATAAAATTCACAATAACGACAACAATTCCTCGAAATTCTTGTGAACTTAAGAAAAGGCCAAAAGAACATTTAAATAAGACAACTGAAATTGCCTAAATAACCTTCAAAGCACTGACTAAGTACAACAAATCACTAGGAACAAAAATAGTATACACCCCCCGGAAAGTTTACTCTCTGCCTGTATGTATGAATAGATAGATAGATATATAGATGTATGAATACATGCCTCATCTCAACTTGCCACCTAACAGCAATAGTGCAAAGTGAAACTTTGCACTAAAAAGTGATGCAAAGTGTATCCACACTCGCGGCATGCAATACAATAATGCAATGTGCGGAGGCAAAAGGAGATCAGGATATGCTTCGTGTACTTATGGGAGTCGGCAATGATTTAGTTGCCGCCGAAGCGAAGTATCACAAAACATGCTTCGCATCTTATGTGAGCAAGTCAAAGCTCAAGTCTCAAGTCTTTAAGGAAGATGAAAGAAAAGAATCTGTTTATGACCAAGCATTTCGTGAAATGGCTTTCGAAATTAGAACGGGGCTAGAATCGGGAATGGCTTATGATATGGTTTCATTGTTGAAGAAATATGCCGAATTGCTAGAAGAAAGAGGAGTTGATGGTCAGAAATACACTAGCCAGAAACTGAAGCTTCGAATGAGAAGTCATTTCGGAGAGACGATTGTATTCCATCAACCTTATCAGAGATCAAGACCCGAACTCGTGTATTCAAGTAGTATTTCACTACAAGATATTATCAATGCTTCTGCTACCCACAACAAAGAACAACCGTCATCACAAGCACGTCGAAACCAAGCCAACACCCAAGATCCTCCTCCTAAACTTCTTATGTACGAAGCGGCGCAGTTGTTAAAACATCAAATAAAGCAGTGTAAAGGCATATCTATTTATCCAGCAAGTGTGAATGATATAGATCAAGCAACAGCTAAAAATGTAGTACCTGGAGACCTATACCTTTTCTTGCGTTGGTTGATTACCAATGACGGTGTGGATATAGACGCTGAGTCAGATTGCAGTAATGATTCAGATGAACGAAAAGTTCTTTGTCTCGCTCAAGATGTAATTCACTGCACGTCTCATGGTCGGGTAAAACTCCCAAAGCACCTGGGTCTCGCCATGTCTGTGCGCCATTTGACTGGATCTAAACAATTAGTTTCCATTCTCAATCGTATGGGTCACTGTTCATGCTACAGCGAAATAGAAACTGTAGACACTGCTCTAGCAAGAGAGTCTATGGCAAAGTCGGAGCGTGATGGCACTGTCATACCTTCTAATATAAAACCAGATACGTTTATTCAGTTTGCGGCAGATAACAACGACATAAACGAGGAGACGCTTGACGGAAAGGATACTACACATCCTACAACACTAGTTGTTTATCAGCAGAAGCCATTTGGCCCAATGCCACGGAAAGAAGTGCTTGCCGATCATACCAAGAAGAAAAGGTCTCTGAAGAAAGTTAACAGCTGTGACGAAATTTGGGAATGTTCAGCTTATGGAAAACGCCCGATTGTCACAGATTTTCTCGGTCAAATTGGTACAGAGTCTTTTCACACCACAACTGACGCATACATATCATCATGCAGGATGGATTTGACGTGGGCACTTGGACGTATGTCCCCAACGAAATTGTTTGATATCGCCGAGGTCACAAAAGAGGAAACTGGCCAGCCCATTCCAAGTTGGAGTGGATTTAACTCCATGTTGTTTCCTGGTACCGCACAGCCTACGGTAATTGGTTACTGTCCAATGATAAATGGTTCTTCCACCGAACTAAGCACGATATACACGGTTATGAAGAAAGCGCAAAATATCTGCTCAAGCCTTCAACAGAGAGACATGGTCATCACATTTGATCTGGCGATCTATGCAAAAGCGAAACAAATCCAATGGAAATTTCCCGACGAGTTCTCAGACACCGTTATTCGTACGGGTGGCTTCCATATTGCATTGAATTTTCTTGCAGTCTTGGGAAAGAAATATCAGAACTCTGGCTTGGGGGATGTATTAATAGAATCTGGGGCGTATGGATCTGGTAGCGTAATGGCGTTAATGAAAGGAAAGTCGTACAACAGAGGGGTGAGAGCACACAAACTGGTCATGGAAGCGCTATTTCGTCTGATGTGGCAATCATTTCTACATTGGTTAAACGGTGGTGGTATGGAATCCCAGGAGCAAATTGTAGATGAAGAGCATATTACTGATTCAATCAAATCTTTTCGTTTGGCTGTTCAAAATAAAGATCACGTTCCACAGAGTGCGGAGGCTACTATGTCCGAATTGTTTACTTTGATGGAACTTTTTGAAGTCTTCAGACAAGAACAGAAGTCCCGATCGAAGATGTTTGATTTCTGGAACGAGTATATCAGCATGGTTATGAATCTTCTTCAATTTATCAAAGCAGAACGAACGGGAAACTGGTCTCTTCATCTTGCAGCTACATCAGAAATGGTACCCTACTACTACGCCCACGACAGACCTAACTACTCTCGGTGGCTTCCTGTGTATTTGGCAGACATGGAACAACTTGAGAAAAACAATCCTGTTGTTTACAATCAATTCCAGGATGGGGGCCACGCTGTGAATCGCTCAAGTCAACCATTTGCTAAAGTATGGACTGACATGGCACTCGAGCAATCTATCAATTTAGATTCCAAATCTAAAGGAGGTATAATTGGGATCAGCCAAAATCCAGACGCACTTCAAAGATGGTTCTTAACCATCCATGAAAGATCAGCCATCACCACAGCAGTCAAGCAAATGTGTGGAATTAACGATTCGGACAGAGTTGGAACACACAAGGAAGCAGCCCCAAAGCGTGTGGAGCGTGATGAGAAAGATGTTGAGAAGATAGTTGCTTGTTTCAAATCTGGTCTCATGAAGGATCCTTTTTCGGATGATAACGATATTTTGTGTAATATTGCAACTGGTGTTGTGTTGCCTGAAGAAGTAGCACACAGATTGGTGAAAAGCAAAGAAGAGGGTCTGATGCAGTTGGACTGCTTCGTACAACAACGCTTACATTGTAACAGTCTGAGCTTTTGGGACGCCATTCCAAACCTAAAGATCAAGACGTTCAACACCACAACAAAGAAAATCAGAGTCCCGTCTTCAAACGAGAAGTCTGTTGTCATGGCTGAAGACAGAGATCTTTTTGGACGGCTGTTAATTGTTGCCAATGTTCGAGAAATCAACCTAAGAGAAGTTCTCAGCTTTGAGCTTTCAGCAGTACCATACTCCCTGGCACATTCTGATGGCACTCTTCGCAAGACGGCAAAGAGTGTACTACTCCAAATTTTGGAAAATTACGTCACTGTGGAATCACGACTTACATCCATTCCAGGGATCGCAACTGTCCATATCCTTGACGGCATGGCACTGGTACAGATGATGAAATTTGCAGGAGTGACAACATTTGGTGAGATGGCAGTCAAGTACTACGAAGTAATCACAAGTTACTTTAGGCAAGGAAACTGTCATCGAGTTGACGTGGTTTTTGACCAGTACTGGCATATTTCCATCAAAGGAGGGGAGCGGAAGAAACGCGGAGAAGCAAATGCATTAGAAGTGAAGATACATGGAAAATCCACCCCAGTCCCTAAGCAGTGGAATAAATACATCTCAAATGTGAAGAATAAAGTGAGCCTTTGCGCGTTTCTGACAGAAAGCTTCTGTGAAATTGGAAAACGTCAGCTTCAGCCAAACAAGCAACTTGTCATTGGAGGAGGAATGAGGGACGGAGACCTTGCACTATCGGTCAGGAATGGTCAAAGTCTTACCGTTCCAACTTTAGTATCAGATCATGAGGAGGCAGACACGCGAATCATATTGCATGCAAAGCATGCTTGTGAAGATGGGCAGAGGATTGTAGTACAGTCCCCTGACACTGACGTTCTGCTTCTCTGCGTGTCACATTATCGTGAAATTGGATGCCAGCAACTGTGGTTCAGAACCGGAGTCAAGGATCGCCTACGCTACATTCCAGCACATGATGTATCTACAAATCTTGGCCCTGAAATCTGCTCAGCCCTCCCTGCGTTCCATGCTCTAACAGGATGCGACTCGACAAGTGCATTTTCGCGCATTGGAAAGAAGAAAGCATGGAAAGTCGTCACAAAAAGCAAAACACATCAGGAGACTCTTAGATGCATGGGACAATCGGTGGATATCGATGAAAATACAGTGCAAAATATCGAAGCCTTTGTCCGTAGTTTGTATGCAATATCAGCTAAAGGTCCAGCAACAGTTGATGAAGCCCGTTATGTAATGTTTTGTCAAAAATCAAAGAGTAACATGTCACTTCCTCCAACGTCCGACAGTCTCCTGCAGCATATCAAAAGAGCAAATTACCAAACCTACGTGTGGAGAAAATCTTTAGTTCCAACACAACGATTGCCATCGCCTGAAGGTTACGGCTGGAAGCTTGAAGATAACACGTTATTCCCTCACCTTATGACAAAGCCACCAGCGCCAGCATGCATCTTAGAGCTTACCAATTGCAAGTGCTCTAAGTCTTCATGCACGCAGAATTGCTCTTGCAGCAACAATGGTCTGGCCTGCACTGAGGCGTGTAAGTGTATGGCTGATGAGAAATGCCGTAATCCCAGCAAGATGCATTGTTACAACTCAGAAAATGAAGACTCGGAAGATTCAGACAGTTATGAGTGTGCCGATTAAAGACATTAATCGAAAATGCCAAACATAGCTAGGTTCAACTTGCTCGTATATAACTGATTTACCACATGCTAACTTTTTCAAAGTTTCTTGTAAATTTTCTGAGCATAAAAATAAGTGATAAAACAGAGCCAGTTTACTATGTAAATGAATTTGAAAACATACAAATCCATATTAACCAAAGTATCGATTAGTTCTCTTAAAGTGGCTCATTGCTGTTTTAACTTTGTAGCGCACAATTCCTTTTACTGTTTATTGTGCAAGGTATGGTCATGAAACTTGGCTGCAACATTGCTACAGTATTGTGCTGTGTGAAAAATGCAAAAACTTATTTCGTTTCTTCGTTGCCATGGTAACAAAGCCATTTTCGAAGGATTGTGTTTTCCATTTTTCTTGGATTCTTTGAAATTATTTAATCGGTTGTGAGCCACCTTAAGTGAAAACTGATACCACATTTCGACTCTACAACATGCCTAGCGTTAATCAGCGATGTTTAATCTACCGGAATTCATTTTCAAACCTTTACTGTGGAACGGGTTGATCGAGATCATTTTCTCCTCTGCCCAGCTCCCGAACTACATACACACGTATTGAATATTGATTAAAAAATTCCATTGCTAAAAATTCGAACGGGTGAAAACATATTCATTTCACAGATCTAAGGCTGGTATACTTTAATTTAGGGTTTTATAATTAGTTGCGGTAGTAATGTGTTTAGAAAATGCTCCGCCGTCCGTCGTCCGCCGTCCGTCGTCCGCCTATTTATTGTAATGTTAAAGTATACACGGCGGTTATGTTTGATTATCAATATCTGTTTGTATAATTGCAATCAAGCGACGAAAATCATCTACAAACCTTTTAGGTTCACGAACATAACCTATGATTCTTTAAAAATCGTAGAAGGCTGCCAACAGAGCACAAGAAAATCGAAGACAAAGACAAATGTAATATGCACGTAACTTTTGTGAGAATGTCACACAAAAAATTAAGTGCATGCTTGGAAATTTAAGGATTTTGTACACAACAATAGAGCCAGTAGACGTAGGTATGTAGTTATAGGTATACGTCGTCGATGTATCCACTTCTATACTGGGGTCGGTTTGTTAAAGTGATATTTTTTTCTATGTCGCGTATACGATGAAAAGGAGCGTCTACATATCGGTGCAGGTCACATGTATCCTGATAATATTAAGAAACAAGTATTGTAGTGGAGGGAAGGGTGGAGGGAAGGGGGAAGGGAGGTGGTGCAAACAGCCAGGGCTCGAAATAACATTTCCAACGTTCCCGATCATGGCCGTAATCAGCAGTCATGATTTTGTGCTGATCAAATGAAAATCTGGCCGATCAGTATAGCTATAGGGTACGTTCTGTTTATATGTTCTGTGATAATGCCGTAGTATTGCATGGTGTTCGTTAATGACATTAACCGTGTTTTTGTGACAATGGTTCTTGCCGATCAAGATGATATGCAACCTTGCTTCTCTGCCGATCAAAAGCAATTTCCTGCTGATTATTTGTCGTTGATCGGCCGTTATTTCGTGCCCTGATATTTAACAGCCATTTTAGGGGAAAGGAATACCTATTACAAATATCACTAAGTGGCTTAATCTAGCCAATTTATACCTTTATCCTAATAAATAAAAACGTTGTTTTTAAAATTATGCTTATGCTAAACAAATACTGGAAGAAATTCACTACTTTGATCAGAGTACGAGTTGTCATAATTGTCGACAATACTTTAATGTATAAATTTATCACAAAAACGCTGCAAGACGAACGGTAAGATAACTGAAATGTGTCTTCCTCCGAAATTACCATTAGTTTATAAATACCACGTGACAAGCGGCCGTCATGTTCGAGGTTTTATGACGGTATGGGCTATGGCAATATTAGTTCTAATTAATTAAAATTTTTGGACAACCCTTGTTTCTTAGTTACTGCACCACGTAGTGTACAGTTTCTCATTTTACGATGAATTTAAATATCTTTAGAGAAATATACATAATATGAAATATTATTTGTTTATTTTTTTCATTTTGAAAGACTTTTAGTTAATTTTTTGGCCGAAACTTGGCCTTACTCGGCTCAGTCGTCGCAGGAGAATAAAAGTTCTGCATTGCCCATCAGCATGCAGCCAATTAGTCTCCTACGCAGACCTACTTTAGCGGGTTTGGGCCCGCCACGTACGGTCTGCTTACTTTCGCTAGCAATTCGCTTTCCCATTGTATTCCATTAGCCAATAGCATTCGAATACACTAGACACGCCCATTTTGAATGTCAACTGTAAAGTGTAAACAAGGAGCGTGCTGCGTGCGATAATCGAATAAGTATAGGTAATAGCATGGTTTCGAGTGCAATTTGGATATAACATGCACGAGTGAGTTTTTCAAAGACCTCAAAATAGCGTCCGAAGGACGAGTGCTATTTGAGGTCTTTGAAAAACTCACGAGTGCATGTTTATCCAAATTTCACGAGAAACCATGCTATTACTTAATAATTTACATAAAAATGTTCGAGACAATTGTAGTTTTAACTTACGCGTATATAGCGAACATTCCACTGGCAAAGTTTTCCTGGCTTTGTTTTATCACATTATACAACGCTAACAGCTTGAAAATTCCACTCAACTGTGTATTTTTTGTTAGTCTTGTTTAAGGTAAATGCTTTTCCATTTAAAAATAAAGATAAAAGCCATATTTTCCACGCGAAGGCAACTTTTACTTTGTGTAGCGCGGCGCCATGTTTGTTTTGTTTTGAAGCAATCTGTGACCGTTACTTCTTTAAAACTAAACTGCTTTAAACTGATTGGTTGATTTAATCATCACAATGTTTTTCCACCAATCAGATCAGTTTGTTACAGATTTTTGCACTGTGATTACAGAAAATTGCACTGTGATTACAAAAAATTGCACTGTGATTACAGAAAATTGCACTGTGATTACAGAAAATTGCACTGCTGTTTGGGATTAACTGCACTGAAATCAACCAATCACAGTCGAGTAATATCTTTATGTATATTATTATACGGTATATACGTATTTAAATGGCCATAAATGTGAACAGATCGAGTTTTCTGATCAATAGCAGTCGAAGTAGAAAATATTGAATATTTTTCCAACGAATGTACGCGATAGGTCGAAGGCTTAAATGTATATAAAACTATTCACTGGTAATAGTTGTTTTGAACTTGATGCGACTGCGTGACGGCATGTATATTCAATATATACTACAAGTTTCCGAACGTTCAATATCAGAGCGACTTTTGTAATTACGATTTTATTGAACTTTATAAACTGGCTAGTCATATACAAATTTAGAAACCGAAATATGCAATGAATCAATTCAGTATTTTATATAGGCTGAATCGAGGGATAAATTACTCTGCAAAAAGCGTACGAGGATTTTGGGGATTAGAAAATCCCGGCAATTTTTCTCGGGGTTCTGAGATTTTTTTCCCAAATTTAAGGGATTTTGAGATTTTTTTCAGCTGATTTTTTCGAAATATTTTCCCTTATTTTTTTTCGCCGAACTTTTCCCGACATTTTTTGCCACATATAATCCGTCGAATTATTCTTAAAACGAAGTAAATCAACAAAGGGCATTTTCACGCCAATTCACGATTTAAATGTTTAAATTTGATGGGATTTCTCAATATTGCAATAATTTTGAGGATTTTATTGGGCTTTTTCGAAGTATTTTATGCAATTTTTAGAGATTTCTTGGGATTTTGGGATTTAGTAAGATTTTTGGATTTTTTCCAAAGATTTTTTTTTGATTTTTGATGAAGTGTACGAAGATTTTCAGAGTAATTTACCCCTCGGGCTGAATTCTGTAATCTTCAATTAGTATTTATAAATCTATTATCTACACCCGCAGTATTAAAATGTACACTGTAACTTTATAACTTTTTCCTCCTATTTTATTAACTGTGCTTTGTCTTGACGTCTTTGTCCATGCAGTATATTACCCGTGTTACAGTAACACCTAACAGTAACACCATGGATTGTAAAATAACACCATGGATTGTAAATGTATTTTATTATCCATGGTAACACCTACAGTAACGCTTGTAAAGTAATCAAAACATCGCGAAATATTTTAGGTGATATTGTTCGATTTTACTACACTGTCTGTTCAAAACAATAGCTCGACAAATTCTAACAGATTTTACAATTGTTCCATATTGTAAATTTGTAGACTGGTATATAACAAATCACTGTGAACAAATATATCTCTCCGCTCTCGCAGATAATCGGTTTAAGATATGAATACGTACAAATGATTAAATGAAGATATGAAATGTTCAAGATTAAATGTTTTGAAACTTTTGACGACCCAAGCCTCAAGTTCAAAGGTCAAGCCCCGCAATTTTCGTGGGTAAAGCTGTGACAACCTCGTACTCAGGGTCCCCGTGTTTAAAGGTCCTGGTGCACGTGGAGGGTAGCCTGCGTGCAGGCCCAAGGGAACTGATAGTGGGCCTGCAACCATCGCCCGGTATTTTGAAATACGCCCCTTTTCATAACACGCCCCATTCGCGCGTCAATTGTCAAAAAAGAACCAATGACAGCACCCAAATATTAACAAACAAACTCGCATTAAAATGTTGCGGGGTTTTCTCTGCTTATTCAGAACACTAATAAACAATGTGTAAATGGCTGCGTTTTAACTCCAAAAAAGCAAGCAACGCAGTCAGTAATTGCCAAATTTGCAAGTGCTCATTTTCAACTAAAATCGGAACAGGCAAATTAGGACGAATTTCAACAGAAAACCAGTCTCAAACTTCAAATCATGAGGGAAGTCGTGCGACCACATTAGGATTTATATTATGTGTGCTTCGCTGTCGCCATTGGCATTGTTATAAATAAATTGTCTCACTTATCAGATCGTGTGTGCAATTCTTGTTGGCGGCGGAAAGTACGAAATTTATTTCATTTGGTAAAGAACTCTACAAAAGAAGAGAGCGTTCCGAGTCCAGATCGTTTCGTTTCAAACGGCAATTTAAT